TCTTCCACTAATATGGAGTGTTCCTCATACGAATTTAATAGGTCAATTACAATACCTTTCAATATGTCTATACATTTCAAGGCGTTTTCAAAATTAGTCTAACATATTTTCCTGACCCATGTCCCGGTCATTGACTCCAGTTAACGTTAGTAGCAAAATCTCTGCAAACCCAGGAAAGGGCAGAGTTGCTGACAAATTGAGGTTACTAGAAGCGTCATTTATTCAGACCAGGGAACATGCCAACAATCATGGTACATGCAGTCCGCTAAGTTTTAGTGTTCACCCTTTGAAGTGGGGCTTACGTTAGAACCACCAAACTTAGTGACTTTTCCTGAATATACATGTATCTGGCAACATTTTCATATTAGTGACTTCGGACTATGACAACTTAGTTTTCTCTGCAAAAAGTCTAATATTCGAACAGACATATCATATGTTCTGTAGCAGCTGATGTAGGTACTATTAAAGACACGTAAGTGGAGGTGGCGTCTATGTAGACATAGAGAACTTACTAAATCCTACTGTAACAATCGTTTGAATTGGTTCTTACATTTTCGTCATCACAAAGTAGCGAGGAGACGCCGAATTCCCTTACTAGACTATAGCACTGCTAAAGTGAGAATGTGTAAACTATTTTTTTATATCTACATGTATGAATGTTAGACATCCATTGAAACAATTTTTCAAGGACAATTCAAACTCTACCACTAGATGAATTATAGAGATTATGCCCGGACGTTTCGAGTGACATCCGCCAGTCTTCTTCAGCGTAACTAAACTGAGCATACAGAACTAGGTATCAAGGATCACATGTAAATGACCTAGAAAAACCGGTTGGACATGACGAGGACTCTTAAGTGTCACGGACCCTACAAACCCTACTCCACTCTGAAGCAGAAGTTGGTTCTCCCTCAAATCTGAGGTTATCTACGGACTGAAGTGTGACGAGCCTCACTGCAACAACATCTACATTGGAGAAAGCAGCCAACCACCAAAAAAAAAACAAGCAACATGGTAGAGCTAATGCAAGCGGCTACTCATCTGCCATCTAACACCATTACACAACATCATCAGGGACACTCTTTCAGACTGGAAGCAACAGACATTCTCAACCGAGAACCACGGTGATACGAGCGCGGCCTTACCATTACAGATACAGATGCAGAATAACGGGTATACAGATACAGATACATAATATCGGGTATGCAGATACAGAATACCGGCTATACAGATGCAGAATACCGGCTATACAAATATAGAATACCGGCTATACATGATACAGAATACTGGCTATACAGATACATAATGTCGGCTATTCATCTACAGATACAGGTCTACAATTGAATCTACAACCCTAGCTTGAAACGGCATGGAGGTCAGAAGTAGATCCTTTAGTACTGTCTTACCACAGGAACTACCTTAATCTTATATAGATTAATACTACGGATATGTTTGTACTTTTTTCTGTCAGTTCATTTTATTGACAATTGATATAAGAGAGACGGGTGTCACTCAAAATCGTCCGGAAATAATCTCTGTAATTTATCCAGTAATAGGGTTTGATTTGTTTTTCAAAGTATTAATTTTGCTGTCACATGTACCAACCTGGCTAGTAACCTTTAAGTATGTTTGTTTGTACAATAAAGGAATTTATTCATCGACTGCTCAAACCAAACACTCTCTGATGTCTGTGTTTCTTGTTGTGTTATTTTGTACTATTCATACTACGCAATATTTCAAGGCTTGTGTGGAATGTTGATTTGTACTTTTGTAAATAAATCTTATTTCAGCCAAAAGGCAGCAATGTTTAACATCTGATCAATAAACCATCCATCCATCCATCTATCCATCCATCCATCCATGATCTATCCATCCATCCATCCATGATCTATCCATCCATCCATCCATCCATGATCTATGCATCCATTCATCCATTCATTCATTCACCCATTCATTCACTCATGCTCAGTACTGGCAGAATAGTCCATACTTTTCCGTAATTTATGTATTTAGTTTAGCTCTATCAAGGTAGTATTCTTCATTAACAACCGAGAGGAATTTACCTGCCGATGTTTCTGTAGACCGTCTGGCGCCTGTATAAGAAGAGATTTTACATAGTGAAAGACAGAAATATTTACCTCTTTCAGGCTGGTTATCTCTCAAATGCAGTTTTGAGACTGCTCTTAACAATACGGGCGGAAATTGCGAATTTATGTTTGCAATAAGGACCAGGAATAATGTGTTCTTCGGAATGTTGTGTCCATGAATTTTTTATGACACTTTTTATATCATGAAAGAAGCCCACTGGTTGGTGTATGGAAGGGACGATAGTCTAATAGAAGTCTCACAATAGGATAAATGGAGAAACCCTTAATCCTAGGATTAACCCAAATCCATCCACGGTGACCAAATCCATCTCCTCATCATCTTTCTTTCTTTCTGAAAGTATTTCATGGAATACAATTATATCATAGCAACGACGTGACCAAAGCGGACGATTCCAAAGACTTTTCCTTCTTTTTCATAATCAAAGAGAAATCTTTCTTTCCAAAAATTTTCTATTTACTTCATAAACGGACATATAAACCGACAAGATTATACAACCATTAAGTACGCAAACGCAGTACAGTGGCAGTTCACAGCGTTTTCTCTCCTAAAACCTCCTGGATGGAATAATCCTCGTCAGTGTGAAGAACAGTGACGCCGGCAAAGTGCTGCTCCCTCCGCCGTGGCGCTACCAGACACACCATGTTTACTACAAGGATTTTTCTCTTCTACTTGCTGCAGTTCTCAAACTGCCCAGGTAAGTTGATTATGCTTTATTCTTTATTTCAGGCATAACTCGCCAATATAAAACATACAGATAAAAATATACACAATGACAATGCCAGCATTAGAAAATATGTCTATAAGTACAGTCTGGCCCAGATACTAGTATTGCGGAAGAATTTATTGCGGAATATTACATCAGGTTTTAGAACAGATTGGATAATGTTATTTGAGGACTTGTACAGACGGGATATGAAAGAATAACATTGTTTGCGCCATGTGGCATCGGATGTGTCAGTCCTATTTACAGACGGGATATGAAATATTAACATTTTTTGCGCCATGTGACATCGGATGTGTCAGTCCTATTGTAAACAAACATTTAAATTTATTCTAAAATTCCACTTCAATGGTGTTGGACTTTTGTGGACCATGTGACGTTCAAACTTATTGTTTTACCATTAAATTATTAGAGAATACTCTGCTTGTAAATTTTCATCATTATAACAGCTTTGATATCATTTATATGACCAGAAGTTGGCGTCTTGATAATACACAAAAGACTACATATAGAAATAAATGATTTCGGATTTATTTTTAATTTGTATGTTATATCGTAGGAAAGTACACGTGTATAATACAGTTATGTTTTGTTTTGTCTTGTTTATTGGTTTATTGGCAGTTTACATTTAAAAACACATCAATATGTAAAGGATTATGAACAACGAATGTGCGGGACAACCCAGGAAACCTAGGGATTTATCGAGGGGGTTACCCGTCAATACCATTTTTTAAAATTACTTTTTACATACGTGTATTGCACATAGCACACATGTATTGTAAATACGGGAGAAACGAAGGAAGTTGTTGTTTGTGTTGGCGCTACCCATAATACACTGCTTCTCCCAGCATGCAATGAAATCCAAGAAGAGTCGTCGCTGAAACATGTGCTATTCGTACTTATAAGCGGTACTTTTGTTAGGCCCAACACCACAATACAGAATTCGTCTTGTTCTTATTTAGTTCATATTACACTTAATT